GAAGGAAAACATTGTGATGCAACCTGCAATATCGGCGAAGAAATTAAAAGATATGTGTAAAGTCAACCAACCCGCACTGGGCCAACGTGGTTGACTATGGCCTAGTCCCCCTTATTAGGGTAGGCTCCGAGCTCCTCGGTGGAGACGTATAGTGAGCTAGTGATGATGATGATGTTTAATGGCGTGAAAATACATAGTCTAAAGCATGACGTAAGTGTAGGGCTTTTTATTACAAAAATAATTATTCAAAAATATACGATCATTGCTGATATCTTAAGCAAAAAAGAAGTGTGTGTTTCCGCTTTATTACAATAGTATTGAAAGTATAGTACGGCCGGGTAAAAAAATTTCATTGGCAACACTGACACTGCTAACTGCTATAAAGTTAGGTAATGAGATGAGAATGACATTTATTAAGTTTTTTTTTAAGATTCTGATGAACCTAAATATGTTAACTCAAAATATGTTTTAATATTATATTCATTTATTAAAGGGTTATGGCTTTTAAGTTTCGGTATCTCCCCCACGGTTGCATTTTACTAAATAAACTTAATTTAAGAAATATAATGACATCACCAACGAAACTCGAAAAGGCTGTGGAGCAATTGCAAAAGAATCCCTATTATGAAAAATACGCTGATCGCATCGCTTCTCTGCAGAAAACTTCTCCCCAAGAGTTTTTACAAAGATTAGAGAAACAGCAAAAGACCCAACAACAAGAAAAAAATAAGAAGTTGGGTGCAGTTGATACCAGGTTTGTCTCACTATGTTATACATAGTGCAAATTTCCACATAAGAAATCATTTTGCTGCAATCCATCATTTTGATTAATCTTTACTTAATTTTCAGACAGTTTTCATCAGTTTTAAACCCTAAGGAAAGAGTAAGCAAGGATTTGATAGTAGAAGATAAAAAGCTTGAGGCAATTTTTAAATTAGATTTAGTGGCAGAAAAAGATGCTTCCGATATTCAATGCATTTGGGAAGAATATCACAAGAACAAAGAAGTAATATCGGCAACAATTCCTCTAGATGTTTATGAAATGGTTCATGAAAAGATGAAAGATTACCCTACATTCTTATTTCCCTTGCCGCGCTCCGAGGGCTATGAGTTTGTAATGTGCCAGTGCCATGGCCACACTGTGCACTTCACACCACTCCTTGCCTTTCAGGTTTCTATACTTTACTCTATATGCAAATGTATGAATATATAAAGTACTGGTGTAATAAATTTAAAAGACAAGTACTTGATATATTTCTAGGCTATACATTATATTATTTATTTTATTTGTTTAATTATGAAACCACTCAGCACTATGCTGATCGTCCAAGGTAACCAGATATGGATAGATGATGTTACTTACAAGCTATGTTTTATATAAAAAATCTTAGCAGTTTTAAAGTGAGATTGAGTTTTTAGTAAATTCAGTAATAAATGCAAATGCAGTTTACCAGTATTTACAATGTATGCATAATGAGTTTGCATAGAAGTGAGGTGTGGGATATGAGTAGTCATTAATTAATATTTATTATTTTAGTGCAACATACAAAGTTTTTCTTTTCAGGTTCATAAAGAAAATGCTCCCGAGTGTTTAACCATGATTCATTACACAGAACTCAGCCACAAAGGAATAGTTTTGATGAGAGGAGAATATGACAAGGTGAGTTTTATTCTCTTCACATTTGGAATATTTAGCTTGGGGCTGGTCGCATTCACCATGTCCAGCAAACAGAATATGTTTTTCATATGTTGTTGAAAACAATTTTTCCCCTATTAGTTATTTAGTGACAGTTTTTAGAAAAAATGGACCAGAAATGCTGGAATTCATTAGTTTAGTTTCAAAAAGATTTCAGATTTCCATTGGAACTGTAAATTTTTTAAAAGTGTTTTTTTTTTTAATTTAGTGTAGTTTTATTTTAGTATGTTCTGGTGAGTTAGGGTTTTTTTTGTCTAATGTGACTTCATTATTTTGAATGTCAAAATTAGACAAAGTTTTGTCTCTATAGATAATTAACTTTTTGAAGAAAGTAGCTGTATGTATGGTGATATATGATGTAGTATATCTGATAACATATTCTAGGACATAACAAAGTAATTTAAATGCATACAAATTGACATATAAACAAACATACATGCAAAAATCATTGCCATTGCCCTCTTTGTCAGACCAGTAGTTTAGTTTACTATAGTGTATCTAAATAAATTATATTAGTTTGACAATTTACTTCAAATTTAGTAGGGATGGAGTGTAAAATCAGTCATGAATCTTATTGATTTTCGATTTTTATTTTTATAGAAGTCAGAATTGATATATTCATAGTTTATGAATAGAAAAAAAAACACATTTTTCACAAATTAATAATGACCATTACAAATAATGAGAGTAAATAAATGTTTATTACTATTACAGCAGTACATAATTTGAATTGGATTTCACTATTATTTCTCTACAATTTAGTGATGACAGAAAACTATAATTAATAATAGAGTTGTCCTCTAAATTAGTTAAAAAAATAATAATAATTTTACTTAAGTTTGATAATTATTTAAACTGAATATCGATAGTTTATAATTGTTTGCTATTTTCGTCGCTATGATACCTGTCTACTAAGTACGGCGTTAGCCTTCATACAAATTCAATTCTATACTTCATATGCATCATTTATCAAACTAATCTATCTTATGTAATTGTAATATAAATCCTTTTGCAGAATGTGTTGAATGGTCAGGAGGCACAGTGCTTGGCAAACCAGTTCCAGATGTACTTTAGCGGCAAAGACTTAACTAAGCAACAATTATTGGAGACATTTAATAAAAAGCCAAATGCTTTCAAACACATGGACCTTATAACAGAACTAGAGAATATCAGCATAGTATAGATCTTGCACTTAGTAAAATCTCACAACCTTACAAACATGGTATAATGTTAAACTTAGGAATAAACCGAGTATAGGCATATATTAGTACAAATTTTACTTATATTCAGTTTATTTATAAGTTTAACTTTATACCACATTTATTTTTAAAGCTGTTAGTATTTACATACATAGTTTTTTATGTTCCCATAGAGCCTATGAACAATGTTACACAAACAGGCAAGAAAGAAGATCCATGTTATATGTCAGTGATTCAGTCTGTGTGGATAATAAATATATTCTGGAGTATCATCAAGGTATACAGGGGAGCCAGGGCAGGTGTTGCGGACACAGAGCAGAGAGCTTGAGCCACTTGTGGAAGTAGATAAGTTATCCCCCTGAGAAGCAGCTGCATCTCTGATGTATCCCACTTTTATATAGTTTGTTGGATTTTCTTCAACTAATATTTCAGAGGATGATTTTGAAAAATGGCTGTCTCCAAAACCTTTGCTGTCATTCTGCAATTATATTGTAATACTTGGTTTCATTTTATTTTTATGGAACATGAAAAAATATGAAAAGAAAAGGTTAACTACATTGTAATAATCTAATGGTCAAATACAAAAATATATATATCATAATCAATATAATCTTTTATTATACATAGTGCAGATATGTAGTTTTCACACAGTAATATTGGCCTGCACATAATGAACTGCTGTTTGAATGGACACAAGATATGTGTGAAGTGGAAGTAATTTCATATTTTATCTGATGAATGTGTGCAAGGCAGTCTTTTAACTTACAGAAATGAGTTGGTCTACATGGGGAGGTCACATCAAAAATGTAGGAAAGTCATTTGTCCACTTGCTTGTTTGCTATCTTCTGTTAATAACATAAAAACTGACTTACTTTTAAATTTTTTAGTGATGTTACATGCAAGTGTTCTGCAGAGTCAGATGCAGATCCTTCAATAGAGCTAATCATTGTTCTGTCGGATTTCAGTGAACTAAAAAGTGATGGGCTTTTTGGCGGAGCTTTGTAAAAAAAATCATAATTATTATCTCTTGAAGTAATAATTTTAGTAAGAGAGTTGTTACTTTTGTCAGAGGTAATAGGAGGTTGTTTCAGACTAGATTTACATTCACTAAAAATAGTTATATCATTTTTAGATAATGCAGAGTTCTGTATTGATTGTAAACTGTGTCTTGTTACTGTTTCAGATTGAACAGCCTTTTTAAGAAAACGTAAAGATAAATTACTCATTATCATAGAATTAGGTTTTGTGTTGACATATTCCTCAGAGTCCTTTATTTTATACACCGAATTTTTGTTTTTTGAAAAATCATTATCGGACTCATTCAACAACCTTCTTCTTAATTCGTTTAGACACTTTCGAGTTTTTAGTTTCCTTCGTTTCAATTTTTTTACTAAATTCATATTGTCTTCGAGCTTCGAGCCATCGAGGTAACAAGCAAAGAGTACTATAAAATACATATCAATGCTAAGGGCCACAGAGTACTTTGTAACATACTGAAACATGCTAAGGGCGTAAGAGTCTTGTACGTAAAATGAAATTGAAAGGAGTGAGAGGGCTACAAGTGTTCGATATTTCCCTTTCTAACTATGACCTAGAGATGCCAAATATCTATCCTTTCGTTGTTTGTAAAAAAAATAAGCAATTGATGTAATGTTTTGCATATTAATACCACTGTTGAATATTATGTTAAGACTATTCTTTCCCTAACTGTCTCAAGAGAGTGTAAAATATGTTGCTAAATATTTGCTACAAAGATTCTTTAACTAACCGACAAACGTAGTCTGGGGCATTTCCTAGTTACATTGTAAGGTACAAGTACTTCCTTTACAATTTGCGTTTTCGTTTTGAAAAGGAAATAATTTCCCTTTAATGCGGACATATTACCTTGCTGGTAACCCTAAATGCTCAGAGGCGACATCCTATCAATGTCAAAAAGGTGCTAGAGTCACAAGAACCTTGCGGGACTTTAAACATTATAAATTGGCAGCACTGCCTGTCACCATCCTGTTCTGTCATTGTCAATCAAATAATAAAAAAATGGAAATAAGTGCAGTCGTACTTTAATGTGTACATTTTAGCGCACATTTTGCTGAAATTTTAATTTGTAAGTAATTGGAATAATGCCGTAACTATAGTGGTGTTTACTTGACACTATTCTTTTGAATTTATGCAAAGGTGAGTTAATTTTAAGTTATGATTTATCTTATTAGACGTTATATTAATATTTTGACATGTAAATTGTACTTGCTTGTGTATTAAATGGAAACAGAAAAGATGTTGTTTTGGTAGTATGAATGAGAACATTGGTGCTTAACACATCTGGAGATTAATTTATTTGGTGCTTGCTTGAATGTTAACTTAGAACATGTTACATTATGTTATTATCCAAAATGATTCATGAAACCTTTCGCTAAATATATTTAGATTTAGATATCTAGCTAATATATTGTCGTCAAGATGTGAATTCACTGTAATTATTTTTTTATGTCACATAATGCATATAAAGGTTGTAAGTCATTACACTGATGCTTAGGATATGGTATTGATTCAAACTAGTAACTAAATAAGAAGTTACTGTGGCGTTTGCTAAGCCTTATTTTTTTGTCTTATACTTTATTGCAGAGCAGTATATCTGAACACTATAATAAGGATTATTTGTAACAGATAACATACAATACTGTTTCTTAGATTTAAATAACAGCTCATTGGGTAATAACATCATATTGTGATAAGGTGGTGCTGTACTGATGGTCAATTGACTTGACACTTTATCGTCATCCTCAGCTCATTACACATACCTTCTGAAGGGTTCGGTGCCTACTTTAGCAAAGGGATGGTTATTCCTCAGCCAACCATGTTGGCCCAGTGTGAGTTGGTTTACTTCACACACATCTTTACATTTATTTACCCATATCTGTAGGTTGCACCAATGTTTTCCTTCACCATAAAAATTGTCAGATGTAAATGTGAATATTAAAAAATCTAAAAACATCTTAGTACATCAGGAGGATCAAACCCAGATGTATAGGAAATTGTTCAGTCCTGTCAAGTGTTTAATATTGGGATACTCCTGAAATGTAATTTTTATTATTACTAGCTATTCCTGTGTCTTAGTCTCATTAAAATTATGATAACTTTATTTACTTATTATATTTGTATAAATTTCAATTGCAAGTGTTAAAATTTAAATGCACAAACAACAAAGGCTGTTGACATTGGCTACCAATTAAAGTTACCATGGCAATCTTGTTTCATTGATGCTGTTGGCTTTTAGTTTTTATCCCTTACCTGCATGTCAATTTCTTCCAATTTACTTACCCCCAAGTTTAATAGCATGAAATTGTATTGCCTAAAGCATTTCAGAAGTGCAGGGCTTTGAAGTCCTATATAACTAAGAAGTGTATGTTTATGCTTTATTATATTATGTATAGATATACATTAATGTATTTACTAGCTTTCGCCCGCGACTCCATCCGCGCGGAATAAACAAAAATTAAGTCAATATCTGTGCCTATTTTAAGAGTTCAGCGGTTTAGGCTACAAACATTAACAAACATTTATCCATTCATCTAAACTTTCACTTTTATAATATTAGGAAAATTAAAGACCCTCTGAAAAGCGAAAATATTACGTTCAATAATTTATCACATTAATGTGTGAAAATGCAACAAGATAGATAAAGCTATTGTTCAGCACAGATTTTGTTCGTAACCCAATATTTAAAAGTAATTTGTAAGTGCACCGTAAATAACGTTAGAAGCGTGTGTGGGAGGTGTGTGTCGCGGGCGGCGGCATGCGGCGCGCGCGGCGGTGAGAAC